CATTATTTCGACCTCGATCGAACCACGACGGATACTACTTCGACCACGATCGAAACAACATCCCAAATGGCCAAGGCCATCGACATTAGTTCGACCTCGATCGAACCACGACGGATACTACTTCGACCACGATCGAAGCAACATCCCAATGGCCAAGGCCATCGACATTAGTTCGACCTTGATCGAACCACGACAGATACTACTTCGACCACGATCGAAGCAACATCCCAATGGCCAAGGCCATCGACATTCGTTCGACCCCGGTCGAACCACGATGAAATGTATTTTTAATAATCAAAACATCCCTACGGAGACTAAGTATCATGCAACAAACCAAAAAGGGAAACGGCGAATAAACAAAGCGATAAAAGTGAAGTTTATATTACAACAAAAATATTATTTACATTCGTCCCTGCGGACCAGCCCTAGTACAACTCACGACCAAAAATTCTTAAACAAAATATACAAAAACTACTGGTCGGCTCCAGCAGGGTAGGCATCTTCATAACACGAGTCCGAATGTAAACGATTCACGTCGTCAGAGGAGACACCATCACCATCAGGAGTGTCAGGGTCGTACCCGCACGACTCACGAGCTGTACGTGCTTCAGCATGCACCATCTGAACCTCCACCTCTGTCGCCCGGCCCTCGGCATAAAAAGCTCTATATACATCAAGTCGAGCCTCCGCATAAACCCACATCTCATACAAGCAACGAGGCGAGCCCTGACCTGCCGGAGGACGAGATGTAGAGGGCATAGAACGGCGGTATGTTTCCTCTGCCCTCGGCGGAGCTACTTGCCTTTGCAACGCGGACAACTCTGCCCCTAACTCCCCAATACGCCTTTCGAGTTCCCCGACTCGAACACCGGAGGCCTCTATTTCCCGAGTCAGTTCCGATCTGGATACACGGAGAGCATCCGCCAATGAGACCGTCTCGGAAATGACGGCAGCTAACTTATCAGCATTGGCATTTAACTCGCCCTTGAGTCCGTTGATCTCCATTTTCTTGGCGTTGAACTCGGCGTTCAAGCCGGCCATCTTCAGCTGCAGGTCGGCGTTCTCCGCCCTCACCCCTTGACTAAGTTCAAGTTCATCCTCCCTCGCCTTTAGCAGGAACTCCAGCTCACTGTTACGGGCAATAGCCCTCACGAGCTCCGCGTCCTTCTCCTCTAGCTCTGCCACCCTACGCTCCAATTGGGCCTCCCGCTGCTTAGCCCCTCGCGGAACACTTGGAACTCAAGATCCTGATAGAAGATGTCGGCCATTGCTCTATGCTTATCACGATACTGTTGATACTTCGTCGACATCTTCTTATAGAGCTCCGTCCTCTTTCGTTCACGACGATCCCTTTCCACCTACAGGACGAGGGTCTAAAAGGGGGGGGGGGGAGCAAAGTTAAACACCATTCCCGTACCAATCCCACAACACAAGTAAAAGTAAAAAGAATCTACTTGTAAGGCCATGCTGGCGACCTTCCGAGATAGCTCCACGTCATTCATCGCCCCGAGCATCTCGTTCTCAAGAGCGGCGCATAAAGGGGCGAGAGCCGACGCAACCTGCTCGCTATTCAGCAGCAAGTTGTAACCCTCCGAAATTATCACATGCCGGCCAGACCCGTTCGTCCTCACCTCCACGTGGGTGTGGCAACTCAAAAACTCATTAATGTCCTCGGGGGCGATGTCGGAACCTGACTCGTCCGCTTCCACATGAGGCCCCCCGACCTTGGATGACGTACCCCCTTCGGCGGAACGCACTGAACTAGCCTCAGGGATGACTCTCTCCTCGTGGGCTGATCTCCCCGACAAAATGGCGCCAGCCATAAACACGGGCACCGGGGCCGTCCGAGACGCTCTACGCCCATCAGCTTCAGTGGCCACCCCCTTTCCCAGCTCCAATCTTCTCCTTTTTCTCTCTAACGGCTCATCGCCATTAGAAGATTTGTCGGCAGGATGAGGGGCCGGTGCCGATAAGACAATGTCTCTCGTGGCTGCAGTGGCGGGCGTGGTCCCCTGCTGAAGAAGTAAAGGACGACCCTCCCGGACAGATGCACACAAAACGTCTTGAGAATCTATGGCAGCAGCAGGTCGTCTAAAAGCGGGGACTGGTGCCATTTTTCTAGAAGCTCCCCGACCTGTCGTCATAAATTATATTGTTAGACAGGATCACACGACCGCCAACGCTGTAAATCAAAAAGTCTACCTGAGGAAACCTTAGGGCCATAACGTTGTACGAAGGCAGTCCAAGTTCGAGTCTCCTCCGCATGGGGCAGCAGGCCAGCGACCCAGTTCCTAAGACCGGTAACGGGCTGGGGTGGGCGTGCCATAGCTTTAAAACAAGCAGTCATAAGCAATATTTGCGGAAGACGAAGAGTCTAATGAACCACAACACTTACGATTTTTATTCCACTTCTCTGGAAACCCAGCGGGGTTAGAAACCATGTGCTCAGTCTTGATGAAGAAATATTTGTGCCAATACTTACGGCTCTACCGGTCGTCTGTCCCAACCACCAACCCCTTTGTGCCGCGAAGCCTTAGGTGCACCATGGTGCCCCTATGGAAACCGGGTGAAAATAAATGCAAGAGGTGGTGCACGGAAACGTCTCCCCCGGCTAATTCCGCGTACTTAGCCAACAGAAGAAGAACCTTGAGCGTGTATGGCGTGAGTTGAGCCGGGCAAATATGATAGAATCTGCAGAACTCGTCCGCCAAAGGAAAAAGAGGAAGGGTGTAACCAATCGTAAAAGGGTACTAATAGAAAGCACAATACCCCGGTCTATGAACGTCAACATAATCCCCCTCCGCCAGAGCCATCTCTATATGAGCAGGGATACCATATTTTATGCGGAGAGCGTCAAGATGAGTTTGACCCGTCTCCGAGAGTACAGGACTTGGAGTGGGGGTGGGTTCTTGCTGAGTCACTCCGAGACGAGAGATGCCTCGGTAGTAACGCCTCCACTGTAAGAGGACTGTCGTCTTCCTCCACCTCCACTCCGCTATCGGAGAAAGGTACTGCACTCACCGGGACAATTTCAGGAACCTCCTCATTAGGGTGGCGGGACCTCGGCATGATTTTGTTTAAAGAAAGCAAGCCATACCAATGGAAAGAAAGAGAAGAAGACTTCCGATAGGGAATGAAAATGAGGAAAGGCGAAAACGGAAGAAGAGGACTAAAGAACTCTCAGGAATAGCTAAAGTTTTTGATGAAATTGAACCCTTCACCTATTTATAGGGTTGGATGGTGCCCGAATCGAGGCGGCAGATTTCAAATCAGCGCAGGAAACCAAGCGCCAAATCGTCAGTCTTTCTGCCTCGAAAACCCGCACAATGATGACACATGCGAGAGCTGACGTCACCCAGGGTGGCGTGTACATCTAAATTTCCCGCCAAATAAGGGCATTGTCTCTTATTGGTCGTGTCGTCACATTTCACCAAATTCAAATTTTTCCTAGGAGAGGCATAAGGTCCGCTCACCAATGATGCATTCCGATGCGACCTCGACGAGCGGAGGGACTAACTGTATGGGTCTAAATGTGACCACCCACGGTTTATAGCTAGGACGAAAGGCAACCGCAAACCCACGAGTCGGTATGAGGGAACATCCCAGAGGTTGAAGAGGGGACATCCGTACATTGTTGTTTAGTTTTATCATAGTGAACACCTCTTAATTCGTCGTCCCAACGAATTAGAGAAATCCCCTAGTATATAAGGGGGATTTTAGGACTTGTAATACAGAAGAAATATACAAAACTACTTTCTCTCTTTTTGAGAATCATGTTTTCTTCTCTGTCTCCTCTGTCTCTGAATATATCTCTATCATCTCTTTGTTATAATGATCCAAGAGTTTATTATCTTCGACTACGATTTACCCCTTCCATCTTTGATTGATTTGCTTAGAAAGAACTTTAATTCTTTTTAGTCAAACAACAGACTTTGTGAGATCATGTGTAGAACAGAATATAATAACATGCGAGTTCAATTTATATACATTCATTTTGTAAATACATTCTACACTTCAGATCACCCAACTTATTTGCTACAATAGATAAAATTAATATTGTTTGACCAAAAAGTGTTGTACCTTTCAGTTAAACCAATTAATGATAAAATAAAGAGTAAATCCTAGCCAAACATAATTTAACTTTAGATCTAGATATATTAGATACGAGAATCAAATGAGGCTGAGTTTATGTAATATTTCTTAGAATGATTAAAAGGCATCAAATATAAATGATAAGCTTACATCTTTGATATATTGTTGTGCATTTGTAAAAGCAAAGAAGATGAGGAAGGAATCTCGTTGATAACTATGAGATCTAGCTTTATTGATTCAACAATGGTGTTTACAAAGGTTTGTAACCCATAATCTAGACTTCTTGCTTTGTTACTCAGAGATCTCCTCCAAGTCTTCTGTTTGTTTTTCTCCTCCGGGATCCCCTTTCTTTCTGCTTTTCCTTATATATATATATATATATATATATATATATATATATATATATATATATATATATATATATATATATATATATATATATTGCTTATCTTTCCCTTTATCCAACGGTCTTTTACCAGCATACCCCTTCTTGACTATCTTTCTTTTTACTTGCTCAAGCATGCCCGCATATATTCCGTTGTGCAAGCCTTCTCGATGGCTCGGCCTCAGCAGTGGCCAAGACGCTCGCCGCCATTACGCCTTACGGGTGCGTCCACGGCTTGGTTGACCTCTCACCATTCCCTTTAATGGGGGGAGGGGGGGTAGGATGGGGTCGTCTCTTGGCGAGCTCGATGGGTAATCCACTTGTGGTTAGATTTTGACCCATACAAACATGTTAGTATAAAATTTACTACATTATCATTGTATATAAATTAAATCTCGTAACATAATAACGTGTATGCCTATTTAATCGCAATATGCTGACTACCAAATAATTAATCACAACAAAGAAAACTAATTTAATGCACGTACAACACTATTAACTCCGTCTCGCCTAAAAAGATTAATTAAAAATCCGATTTTGGGTCTGGACACCTATCAGACCAAATACTTGGCGTGAGTTGCAGTTTTCTCAAATTCCGCTACTGGTCAACTCTCTTCGTTCACTCCTCAAATCTCAATATCAGGAGAGAGAGGGAGAGAGAGAGAGAGGGCAAAGGAGAACAGGGGTGGAATGGGGGTAATAACAACGGCAGTGATAGCAATAGCAGGTGTAATTCTTGGTTGGATAACCATAGAGATGGCGTGCAAACCTTGTCTCGAAAAGGGCCGAGAAGCCATTGATCAAAACCTCAATCCCGACTATGACCCTGATGATGACATCCGGTCCCCTTTAAATGCAAACCCAACTGAACAGTCCGATTCAACTTCTGCTACTGCCATCAAAATTGTCTGATCATGTGTTAAGTATTCTCTTGCTGGGTTCTTCACTTTCCTAAATTCCTCCATTGTCCACTTACGAAATTTTAGTTTCTTGCTTGTTTTACTTTAGTTGTTATCTTCGCTTCTAAATTTGATAATTCATATTTCGATAATTTCTGGACTTCTGTCCATGAGAAAATTGTTTGTTTGGTTCTATTTTTCTGTATAATGATATGAGGAAATTATTTGTTGAAAAATGTAGTTATTGGCTTTGAAGTTGTTTGTTTCTTCAGATTGTTGACAATGTAATGATTTTGGGATCTTTTAGCTTTGCTTAACATAGCTATTTTGCTACGAAAATAAATTTCAAGGCTGTGCCTGTAACGATAAGTTCTGTGAAAGCACAATAATTAAATACGTAAGATATCAGAGACTGGAACTTGCAGAGAAATTATAATATCTCCGGTGAGAGGCCTACCTTTTTATTGGATAAATTAGAATTTTGAATCTATAGATTACCACCTCCTATTTGTGTTAAATTGTTCTTTCATTGTGTACGGCTACAAAATCAACTGTACAGAATGGGAGTCTCTCAAGTCATTTACAAGGAAATTTTTATGTCATGGACATTCTATGCGAGATAGCTGTAAACTTGAGGATTGTTCTTGTCTCGTTCCAGATACTCCCTATCTATTAGGCTTTCAATCCTTTCTTCAAGTCAGCTGGTTTTCCGGGGAGCATAAGCTGCATCACCAATATGTAACAGAAAAAAAATGAAGAAAAAGAACAGATCTATCCTTCCTGCCGCCTCATCCCATTTGCCAGATAAATCAATTGGATCTGGAGTTCATAATTTCAACATTTATAATAGTGGAAATCCTGAGAGAAGCAATAAAAAATTATGCAAGATCAATCAACTGATTTGGTCTTTTTGTTTCCCCTCTCAGTATAAGCATTATCCATTTTCACTACTTTGCAAGTCAAAGAGCAGTAGCCTTTTAGTGGTATAGGAGCCATTGGCCTATATAGAAGTTAAAGTACACTGTCCAGTCTCCACCCAAATGCTTTCTAATGAAATTTCATATTCTTTATTTCTGCTCCAAATACAAGGCTCAATGTTATATTACTATTATGCTTGTTGATAAATTATTTGCCTTCAAAAAACCATAGGGCGCTTTTGAGAACATGATATAGGTATAACTGGCAGTATGACAACTACAACATGATTTTGATTGTACTTAAATTCATTGAAAGCTTTATTTATTGTTAAGCCTGTCAATAAGGAACTTGAGACAGTTCTATTTTTACTCAGCTTGCCAATATCTTTTAGCATATGGCTACGAATGCAACACTGTTTAGATCGAAGGCAAGAAGACACCCATAGGGAAAACTGATAGGTTTTAAGTAAAAGGGTTTTTTTTGTTGAGTTCATGCATCTCCGGAGCTTGCACCAGATCCATTTCCCCAAAACATATGTGATACATTAAGGTAAGGAGTGATCTTACCTGCTGAAAGAGTTCAGTTATTAAAAGGGTATGACTCAGCACTTTTCTGGTCTGCATTATCCTAACAATAACAGCATCAACCTGCCGAAGTGGAGAAAGAAAACCGGATTACATCAACAGCAAAAAAGAACGATAAGTCTGAAATTTTCCCTTGATATCAAGAGCCAATGTTAGTAGAAAATATGTCAAGAAATCTGTCTCTTTTCCTGAGAATCTATGGCCTTAAAGAAACAGAAATGTTGCCTACCAACAGGAAATTTGAGCAGGAAAAAGAGACGCAAAAAGATATCAAGCAAAAACTCAACTAGTTAGTTATAAGCAAAGTTGTGAGGCAATCCAATTAAGAAAAGACAATTTTTTTATCAGTTAAAAATGATACAGAAAGTTCATTGGCTTTAGATTTTTGAGAAATCACCCAACATACAAGAGTACCGTTTCCTTCATCTGAATGGCATTTACCTACATACATGAATAGATTAGTAATATATTTTTTTTTTTTTGGTGAGAGGGGAAACTTTCGGGTGAGTACTCTGTGGTGATCACTTTGTGCGCACTGGGTAAACCACCCCCTATGTAATAACCTAGCCTTCAAACCACATAGGAGATGTAAACCGCACTAGGCAAGCCCTATGCGACAGGCTCTACCCAGAAGGCATTGAGGGGGGATTCGATCCAGGCCATCCATATGGATTACCACCCTCCAAACCAACTGGGCAACTCCAAAAGGTGATTAGTAATATTTATATGTAACACATTAAGATTATGGCCCTTATATCTAAACGAACCTCTTCAGAAGCACCAGTACAGTTTATGTGGGACAGGTATATAACCCAACAGTAACTTCACTTGTAACTTATACATGAAGTCATAGGAAAGGTCATAATTAGTCAATCAATTCAGCTAAAAAATGACGAAAAGCTATGTTGCTCGGACTATCCAAAAATTTTTCTCTGTGGATGACGGATCCTCCAAAAGTAGTGCATTTTTTAAGGATCTGACACGGATGCGGCATCATTTTAAAGAGTCCGCGCAACATAGATAAAAAGCAACACAATATCCGGTACCACTAATCATCATTCAGATTTATATTTTATATCCAACTAATTCAATCCCAGTACTAATCAGACTCTCATAACCCTAACATAAAAAAGAAACATCCCTAATCAGAACAAGAACAATAAAGGGAAATGTTTCAATCTCATAATAAAATTCAAATTTATACAAAACAGAACAACGTGAGACAACACAATAGCCCGATTTTTGAGAATACTACGTTTTTTAATGAGAAAATGAAACACAAAATGCAGATGCTGAGCCCGTTTGGATTGGCTTGTTTTAAGTGCTTTTAAGCTAAAATAGCTTTTAAGCCATTTTGTTGTGTTTGGAAAAAGTTAAAAAGTGCTTTTAAGCACTTGTTTTTAAGCTAAAATGACAAAAACAAGCCAAAAGCCAAAAGTTAGAATTCATAACTTATGGCTTAAAAGCTATTTTGGCTTAAAAGTCACTTGAAACAAGCCCATCCAAACGGGCTCACTATTACTACCAACTAGTATACTTACCCGCGCGATGCGCGGATTGTTTCAAACAAAAAAGAGCAGAGAGAGATATCAGAAACAGATGTATATTGCAGACTAAATTTATCGACTGCATTAAAAAGAAATTAAACCAAAAGACAAATAGGTGAATTCTATCAGGATGTCTCTATAAATTTGTTGCTAGGGACCACCAATCTCCAAGAGGTGTTACAAGATACTTGATAAATGATACATCAATACTTGGTTTTAAAAGGATTAGTCCACATGAAAATGCATAAATTTTTGACTTCAAGTACAAACATAAAGGACATTACATTTGGTTCAAATCTTATTCCAGCTCCAGTCACAAACGAAGGTTAATCTGGGAGCACCAACGTGCACAAAATTCTATTTTAAGTAGCTCCAACAGAAACCACATAGTGATTTTAATCTTGATCACCTCCCATCCTTCAAAGTAGGCCCACACGCAGCAAATAGAACCTGTGCAATAGCAAATATGATTGTTAAGAGATGGCATGGAAAAATCATCCCTCGAGATATATTCAAGTCCAGAATAGGACACTACAATTTTCTTAAGAAATCAAGTAATAATCAACAAAAATATTGTACCTCTAATCAATGGTTTAACGCAAAAATAAAAATACCAATACTAAAGAGATAAGTTTGATTAGATTTTTATTTAATTTTGGCTATTTACATTTTTTCCAAAACGAATACATTTACTTTTTATGATAACTCACATTTTACCTAAAGTCTATATTGTCAATCAATAAGAGCATAGTCTAAATATTAAATGATCAGTGCTACGTAAACGTTTCAATAACCAAAGTCTTCTGAATATCTCATCCAATTTGAGGAATATCTTGCTCTTTTTTCTCGTCGAGAGAAAGAAACTCACAGGCGTCAATCACTAAATCATCATTGAATCCGACAATATTTTATCATGCCAAACACCTCGTCCAAGCACACGCGTTGGCTGCTCTCTATCAAAGCATCCGCAATCCTCCCGATATTTGCAGCAATGACACTCATCATATCGACTAAAGTATTGTCCTTGCACCTCCTCTTTGTGGGCTGCTTTGAACGCGACGATGAAGAAGGCGTTGCTCTGAGATAAATCTTATATATTGCCATCACATGTATTGTCCATGCTGGTTTAAGATCCATTTGAAGAATTGGTGTCAAAGATGACATGCAACTTATCAATGTTCTCGATGTGTTTTCCCTTCATGAATTTGACATCAATATTTGGCTAAGAAGCACATAAAAAGTACAATGTTTAGGTTTTGCTAATATAATGACAATAATAAACCGTAGACAAACTTCCATTAGTGAGCATCTTTTCAGGCACGAATTTATACTCGTAAAAAAAAGTAGTTATTTTTTGATTTGTTGAAGCAAAACAACACTCCAAATACAATCTGATTCTCTAAACTAAAGTCATCACATTGAGCTCCTACAGATAAAAATAACATCAACTCACATTTGAATCCTTTACAATAACATAGCTAATAGATCTCTAGTCATTGTAACATATTCAAGGTCTATAATATTATAAGGCAAGCCGAAAAGGGAAAAAAGAGAGGAATGACAATAAGGTAAAGATGCAACGACTGATGGTTTGATGAAATGTTTGATTATTTGAAAAAAATGTTTTTGTGACGACCCAAAGGGTTATCACCTGTTTTTCCTTTCATTCCGTGCTTCCGAGACCTTGAAAACCTTATTTTTTTTTTACTTGCCTCGATTTGCGTTCGCAGTCCGGGCGCGTAGCCGGAAAGCTTAAATATGAATTCTGTGTAAAAAAAAATTGATGAATGTTGATATTAATATGATTAAAGTTGACTTTGGCCAATATTTAAAGTAAACGGACCCGGACCCGTGATTTGACGGTACCGGAGGGTCCGTAGAAAAATATGGGACCCGGGCATATGCCCGGAGTCGAATTCCGAGGTCGAGAGCCCGAGAAATAAATTTTTCTGTGAAATTATTTTCTGAAATTATTAAGGAAATTGAAAATGAAAATTGATTAAAAGACTGTGGTATCAGGCTCCTATTTTTGTTCCGACGCCCGGTACAAGTCTTATATATGGTTTAAGCACTTCCTGTAAAGTTTGGTTGAATTTGGACGTCGTTTGACGTGTTTCGGACTTAAAACTCTAACCTTGATGTTTTATGAAAAATTGGAAGGAAATCATGGGTCTTGAGGCCTAATTTGATGTTTATGATGTTGTTTGGGCGATTTGATCGCACGGATGAGTCCGTAAGATGTTTTTGAGTTTATGTGTATGTTCGGTTTGGA